AACAGAACCATATGGTTTGCTAGTTCAAATATTATAAACTGGATGTAAAGGTTTGACTTCTCCTTCCAGTGACGTCCGAATGAGCAAATGCAGAAATAATTTTTAGGCAGACTGAAAGGAGTTTAAATTGATAAAAAAATATTTAAAACTTTCATGACTCTAAAAGTCTAAAAAGCGTAGGAACAATATTTTCTCTTCAAGACCATATTATGATGATGACCAGATAAAACCACCTATTATTATTAAAGCAGTGATATTCAATATTTAAAATCAGAATGCATCATGCGTTGTAGTTACAATGAATCTAAACAGAGAGAAAATATCGAAGCAGATTTACTAAATTAATTTTAAGCATCAATAAATATTATCTGTTTTCTTCTCTAAATATATATATCTGCGTGTTTACATTAATAGATAAATAGATATAATCTTGTTTCACAAATATTTGAATAATGAAGTAGCGAATTTCAATGCAACAAATATCCTAAATTTACTTTATACATATGTATTATGGATGTATAGTCATTCTGCTTAAAGTATTTACAGATATAAAATACAAGGTTATTAGCGCATAATAAAAATTTAAGTGGACATATAATATCTTGTACTTTAGGTAATGATTTTTTTAAAATTTTTTCTAGTTCGCATAAGATTTTTTATTACGCGAATTTTTTAAAAATTTTTCATTACACTCGAAAGTTATGCTCCATTTTATGAGTTTAATATGTCATAAATGATCATCTTTTAATACATAATATTTTTTTGAAAAGAGAAAATAAATAAAAACAATCCTTGGTTCTAAAAAATTGAAATGATAAATATTGCTACTACTGCCTGAAAATGTTCATAATTAAAAATGAAATGTACTATCAATACTTACTTAATTTTACTTTATTTGTAGGCAAAAGTAAATTCAAAATTTTTTTTAGAGTTTTTACAGTTTTATCAAAGTAATATGTAGACGAGAATTACGCTATGCTCAAAATGCAGTAAAAAAATACTCAAAATGCACTAAAAAGTGGTTTCATGAAATATATAAAATCTTATTAGCAAAACTGTGATTTTTTTATCTCATCTATACAACGTACACATTTATAATTAAAAGAGTTTGTGATACAAACGCCATATGTTTCAATGTCTAAACAAATCGTCCCTACTTCTCTTCCCGACATGTGTGTGACGCACGCCCCGCCCACGGGGTTAGTCTATTTCTTTAAGGTCCATGCGCAGCTCGATATGTATAATTGGGAACTGAAACTGCATTGTAAACCAACTTTTTTTCTTCGTGCTTCCATTTTGATAACACGCACTTAAGCTTTGCTCTCACTTGCAAAATGTAATTTCGCTGGCTGCTTCCATCTCCAATATCAAAAAGTATCTTCTTGGAAAGTACGATAGAGTGTCAAGTGACTGTGGCCACAAATATCAGTTGCCAATAAAAAATGGAATTAAAACTGCCTCGACTGCCAATTCTTGATATTACCAAGTTAGCTTACTAGCATACTACCTATCAAATCTTCTTCAATAGGGCAATCACGCATCTACAGTGTTCCGTCTTTCCGTTGCTTTTATTATGACAATTAAGTCGTAGATAGTTCCTACAGCCTGAACCTCAATGAAAATTTAGTTAGCTCTCAAAATCGTTTGTGAAAAATCCAGATAATGTGAAAGAAGTGAATCATCAAATTTGGTTTTCAGTCTTTAAAAAATAAAGATCATTCTTCTGCTGTGGTTTTTACAAGTGCTTCAAAAAATACACGCGTAGTGTTTACAATGAAAGTATCTCTCGATATTGAGAAGTTCGAATGCCTAGTGAAAAGGAAATCATCAGTGAATTACGTTTAAGAATTAAGCATTACAGTGGGTTCAGGTCGATCTGATTTAGTGTTTGCAAGTATGTGAGACAGAAAATTATTTGCACTCCGTTTTTTCAACAGCTCAAAAATTATTACATTCGTGTGAACTAGCTGTAACTAAATTATTAATGTGCTGCGGATTCTTAGTTTTATTTCAACTTTGGTTAAAATTTCTGCAATTTGTTTGAGAAATCTGAAATTCTTGTTCATTAATTTTTAATTTTTCATAATTATGTGAGCAAATTAAGAAACAATTTAACTTTTAAATATTCAGGAAGGCTTTAAGATAATTTTATGTTTAAAATTTTGTTGAGAATTTGAATACGATGTATAATATTCTAAAAATGAAGTAGGTGTAAAAAATAAATAAATTATTACAGATACTTAATATGAAATTATGTAAAGCATGTTAAATTTATGGGTGATTGTATGTTAGATAGTGTATCGAGGGAGTACTGGGTTCCTAAGCAGAGTACAGTTGTTCCTTCACCCTCTTCAAGTAAGAAAAGTTGAGGCTCTCATTTTATGAGTGCGTAATTTTTTTTATATTTTATACTTTTTTTTTGTGGAATATTAAGTAAGTTTCAAAAGGCCGTACCATGCAAGGAAGCCTTTTCAGTAAACTGCCTGGGCCCTGGGCCCAGTGCATACACGGTTAGCTCAAGAGCACAGCCTATGATGAATATGTTGTTTAGAGTATTGCGAGGCTTCCAATTTGGTAAAATCGGAATTAAATGAAATGATACGGTGAAACCATAATTCTGAAATCTTAATCATATTATTTATGATGTTAATTATAATTTATCAGTATAAATAGTATCATAAATATTTAGTGCATTACATTTAATTATAATAATGATTATGTAAAAGTTTATTTGTGATATTCTGTAATAACAACCTTCCCTGAAGAATTATGATTTGTGAACTTTCAACAAAAGACTTTTGGACTGAATGCTGAAAAATTCATAGGACTCTAAAAATTAAATTTATTAAAAAAAATTGATATTTAATTATACTTTACAAGACAAAAATTTATGATTTAATGTTTTTTTTTACACGTAGTGTTTTTACTCTTTCTCTTTAAAAAGGCTCTCTGTCGCTACGCCTTTCTTTTTGAAGGAGGGTAATATAATTATGATCAGATCTAAACGTATACCTTCTCTGCATGCGTCATTTCTAGATCACCTATGGTCCGCGCAGCTCTGGACGTAATAATTGGGAACTGAAACTCGTAAAACAAAACTTTTTTCTTCGCGTGCTCCATCTTGAAATAGCATTAAGCTTTTGCTCTCTACTGTGCAAGATGTAATTTCTGGCTTGCTTTCTATCTCAACATATAAAAATGTAAATCTTCTGTGGAAAGGCACGACTAGAGTGCCAAGTGATGTGGCCACAAATATCCGTGCCAATAAAAGGATTAACTGCCTCGACTGCCAAGTTCTTTAGATTACCAAGTTAATAACTAGCATACTACAATCAAATCTTCTTCAATACGGGTCTATCCGCATCTACGTTCCGTCTTTTCCGTTGCTTTTATTATGACATGTATATATTTTGTTTACCGTTTCACTTTTATGTGAATGTAGTAGATACATGTGCTGAGATGTTTGGGATGTTTCCAGCTCTGAACTTTCAACCCAATAAACGTTAAACAGTATTAATGCCCTAAATATTTTTTAATAAAACTTTTTTTTAATTAATAATAATTGCTTTAAAATTCAGTCTTCTCCAGCTGAAGCAGAGATAATTAATTAAACATTTCATTTTTCTTTACATTATAAAGAGGAAAAAAGCTTATCTTTAACTTCTTCTATAAAAAAGATATGAATTAAATTTATAAATTAAAATATTTTTATGGATTATGCATATAATATAACTCTGCGCACAGATGAGATTTCTAAAATTATTCACTTACAACACTGAAGAAATTGATGCTAAAATTTTATATGTTATCTTTTTTCTCCCGAAATGTAGGATATTTAAATATAGTCTCCGGGCATCCTGATACATCAGGCGTTTTTCTGTAATATTGTGAACTTTTTACAGTGCTCTGTATTTTTAAGTACCAGCTTTTTAATGTTTTACTTTTTTTTTGTTTGCAGAACATATTTTAGTTTATTATATATTACAGTAGAAGTCCATTAGTCCGGCATCCAACAGTCCGGAATGCCCGATAGTCCGGCATCGCTCCGGAAAATTGTAAAAATTTTGGTTTTCTCCAAAAGTGTGTCTTTAAAGCAAATAAAACCGCTCGAGAGCTATTCGGAAGTTTTCGGGGTAGTTCGAGATCATCCGGAAGCGCTCGGTATTGTTCGGAAACAATTAGCGGCCGGCTAGTCTCAGCTGTCACAACAAATTCAGGTGCAGTGCAGCTCCGTTAATCAATCACGAAGCGTCTTCGCCATTTTTTTGTGGCGTTGTTGTTTTGTGTCCTTTCACATCGCAGTAAACGTAACTTTTGAAACTGTTTATAAAAAAAAGTGATTTTCGTTCTAACTGTACAGTGACCATGTTTTCAAAACCTAAGCCTTCGAGTTCAAAAGGAGAGAAACGAAAACACGTAACACTGACTCTCAATCAGAAACTAGAAATCATCAAACGGCTAGAAAAAGGCGAGAATAGAAATGTTTTTTAATGAGTTTAATATTGGCTCATCAACTATTTATGACATTAAAAAACAAAAAGATGAACTAATGAAGTTTGCTTCTCAATCGGTAACAACTGAAAAATTGGCTTCTAGACAAACATTAAAAAAACCAAAACTGGAACAGCTAGATAGTGTATTGTTCAAATGGTTTAGTGCAGTACGTTCTGAAGGAAAGCCGGTAACAGGGCCAATGATTGTTGAAAAGGCAAAGAAATTCGGCCAAGATTTAGGAGTTGCTGAAAGTGAATGTAATTATTCTGATGGTTGGCTCAGAAACTTTAAGTTTCGGCATGGAATTCGAAGACTTGATGTAACTGGAGAAACCCTTTCAGCAAACCAAAACTCTGCAGAAAAATACAAAGACGAGTTTGAGAAAATCGTGGCTGATAATGATTTAACACCTGAACAGATTTACAATGCTGATGAAACAGGGCTATTGTGGCGATGTTTACCAACATCTACACTAGCTGGGGGAGGAGAAAAAGCAGCCAAGGGTTTTAAAAAAAAAACAAAGACAGATTAACCGTTTTGCTATGTGCTAATGCGTCTGGAAACCACCGAGTGACCCCTTTTGTGATAGGTAAATCTGCAAAACCCAGGGCTTTTAAGAATGTTACACACTTGCCTGTCCAATACGATGCTCAATCAAATGCGTGGATAACTGCCGCCCTCTTTAAAGACTGGTTTTTTCACCACTTTGTGCCTGAGGTCAAGGAATCCTTCAAAAGCCTTGGTCTACCAGAAGATACTAAAGCCATCCTTCTTTTGGACAATTGCAAAGCCCATCCGCCAGTAGATGAGTTAGTTTCTGGAAATATTGTTGCTACTCTGCTCCCACCTAACGTAACATCTTTGATTCAACCCATGGACCAAGGGGTTATTCAAAATTTTAAATGCTTTTATAGAAGGTCTTTTATTCAAGGCCTGTTAAATGCCGACTGTGACGTGACTGATTTTCAAAAAAAGTTTACAGTAAAAGATGCCGTCTATGCTATTGCACAGTCTTGGAACCAGGTAAAAAATACAACACTCCAAAAATGCTGGAGAAAACTTTGGCCAGCTGCAAACCCTGCATCTGACCTAACTCTACAGACTGATGAGGAAGAAAACCATCAAGACGCTCTGACCAAAGTTTTGGATGTCGTTAGAAGTACTGACAATCCCTTGAAAAACCTGCCTGAAGATGAGGTAGAGGAGTGGCTTTTAATCGACGAGAATGAGCCTGTTGAACAAGAACTAACCGATGAGGACATTATCAACATTGTAGTAAACCCTCAGCCTACTCAAAATCTTGAAGAAAATGACTCAGATGCCGAAACGGAAGGAAAAAATCAGCTGGGCAGAAGCTGCAGAATCACTAAATAAGTTTATCTCTTTTGCCGAGGCTAGTACTAGCTACAGTGCTTCAGAAATTATTGATTTCCATATCATTAGAAATAAATTTGATACTAAACGCCAAAAGTCAAGAAAACAAAAAGACATTCGTGACTTTTTTAAATCTAAGTGAAATATGTTTTACAGTACGTGTACATACATTATATGAAATGTAAAATAAACTTTGTTGTATGTATTTGCATACTGTATTTTTAGTTTAATTATTAACCTAATTGTTCTTATAATTACCGCCCGATAGACCGGAATTTTCGGTAGTCCGGCACCGAGCCGGTCCCGAACGTCCCAGATTATCGGACTTCTACTGTATTTAGTTAATAATTAAGGCTACTAGAAACGCAAAGAAATTTTAAAAAATTCCTTCAGCTTCTATGCAGTTAGAGATGTTCATAATTACCTTACTTGTCTAAAAATTGCTAGCGTGCTTTACTTCCACAGTTCATAAACAGAAATAAAAATTTTCCAATAACATCGAATTTATCGTTAAGTGTCCGAATCCCGTAAGTTAAATACAGAGACATCTGGTGGCATTAAATGCAATCGACCACCGAACTTCCGTATGCGTAAATCCAACGCAATAATGTAAACGGTCGTCCGTCTGCACATGCGTTTCTCCCCATGACGCTGCGCGTTCGCAATGCACTAATGCAAACCAGCCTTTATGATCACGATGCATACCCAGTGACCTTCTCCATATTCGGAGACAGGTTAAATCAATACTTAGAAAATACTGGGATCAAGAATTTCTCAAAAGTATACTCGTGCAGAGTTCATATGAGCTTATACATTACGCATCTGCTTCCTCAGAAAACGTAAAGTTTGGAGATCCTGGTGTGGTGTTCTTTACATTCATTACCTCAGAAATGTCGTTCCTTATGTATAGCTGAATTTAAGACAAAATACTGTTTTGAAAAAAAAAAAAAAAAAAAAAAATGATACTTTGTCGAGAAAGAGCAGCTTAGAGTAAATCTATGTTACAAGACTATTTCTAAGAAAGATATGAACAAAATACTGGTTATTTATCCTATAAGTTAAAAACTTAGAAATAACCAATCATATGGTTGCTGAAAATATTTTTTTAAAATTTAAATCTCTTTCGTTCAAAGTTTGAAACTGAAGTTGCAAGTGCATTAACATTCTTATCCAACGTTAAAGTTCATTATGCTGAGAAATCTTTTTGACATATTTGTACCCAATATTAATGGAAATATTTCGTGTGCAGAATTTTTTGGCGTACTTTTCGCCAGTATCAATATTAAAGATACTTAGAATTAATTATAGGCGGAAAAAGCACACTATTAATGTAGTCGAACTTCGATTCCAGAAAGCAACTTTGAATAAAATTTCCAATTTTGTCTTTTGGAACAGTAAAATTTACTCTGCCAACATGCACAACTAATCCTCATTTTAAGCATGAAAAATTCAAATATATAAATTTTGCAGCTGAAGTTCAAAATCATGTTATGTTTTCAAAATTAACTTCGGGAAGGTACGGCCAGCGACTTTATATTTCCTAATTTAAAGAAAATGTTTATGTTAAACTCGATTCTCGTTTATTTAAAATATAGGCGGGGAAATAAAAAAAAAAAAAAAAAAAAAAAAAAAAAAAAGAAAAAAAAAGAAAAAGAAAATGAATAAAATAAGATAAAATAAAATGTTCCAATATTGCGGTTTAAAAAAGGGAAAACTACTGCGATCGCATTTCTTATACGTGAAGGGTAAATTAAAATCTCTTCTCAACGTACAAAACAGAAAGAAGTTTTAATCGTCATTTAATCATGCTGCAGAATTTGATGTAAGGTTTTAAAATCTGTATCTCTGCTCAAGATATTCATGTAGGTGCATATACCGCAGTTAAAAAAATCCCTTCAAATTACATAAATATACTTCTCAACGGTAAATTCTGTGTGAATACATGGAACGAGAATTATCAATTTGCATAATACAAGAGGTCAGATAAAAATTTTATGGCAAAAATGCATAAGAAGATATAAAATAAAGAATAATTTTTAATACGAATGCTAAACAGGCAAAAAACTGATTTGCAGCGGTACTGCATTCCTCGGGGGATTTCATTCTCGTATTAGTGACTTCTAGTTCTTCGGACTTTACTCCATTGCACTGCAGTCTTTTTTATAGGACTATTTGAAAGTGTATGTTTCACTCTCCTTCCGTCAGCTTTAAAAATAAAATATATCAGGAAACTGGAAGTATTGCTCATAATTCTTTCTGTAGTGTCATGGCAAGTGCAGCTGGATGGAAGGCAAGTCCAAGGCATTATATTCAGGAAAGAAGCCTGTGTCGTGAATCCAAGACACCGACTTTTTTCGCTTTGGATACATATATTGTAATTCCGCAAATATATTTAATGAGTAAAACGTATTAGGAAATAAATTTTTTCATAGTTTAATTATATTTAATCAGTTTTCCCTTTGATCACCATTATTGTCAGCGCATGACTATTTTTCAAATGCAATTCGAATGCTTCATAAATTCTAATCTTTGAAAAAATTATTCTTAAACAATGAATACACATTTTTATTCTAATTTATTATTATATTTTTTATCCCTTCCTTTCTTAATTAACGTTATAATAATTCTGTTCTCAACTTTTTCTAGTCAATTAGTAATACCCAGCGTTTTGTGAACTGTTAAATGTCAAGTGTTTTTTGTTTTATTCCCTCATTATTTATATCAAGCATTAAGGCATTTTAAATAAATGAAGTTGTATAAAACCTTAGCGTAAAAAAATCAAACGTTATATAAACATCAAATTTCAAACAAAGAACAAATAAAAAGCAGCAAAAACGTGCAAAGCAATTGCTGAGCCTTATCAAATATTATTAATGTTAAAAACGTCGTATCTCGCGATCAAATATTATTAATGTTAAAAACGCCGTATCTTACGATAAAAATGTCGATGTAAATGGATAATGTGACGAACCTGCATTTATCCATGGGCGGCCCGTAGAGCAATCACAAAACATCCGATGGTTCAGTTTTCTAATGCTATTTATTATTCGTTACATTTACATATTTACAACTGTCCTATTGTTAGGTGGACTACCTTCACAGAAATCATGTTGCCTAATCAAACGACATTTCGTTTCTACTTACATGCATTGCGCTACTGCCAAGAGCGCCCTCTATTTCTCTCTTTACAACAGATAATCAAGTATGCCTAACCATTGGATGGTAGATTATTGGACTTTTAGCGTAACTGGAAAATTTTCTTCTTGTACACACAATTACCATATCCTTCACAAAGCAAAAGTGCATCTTCTAATTTTTTATTTATTTTTCTTTTTCCTATTTAAATTTATGTTTTTAATATCCTGATTTTCTTTTATGTACTTTTAAAGTTTAGTAACTAAACTACCAATTGGAATTAGATATTAATGTATATTTTCAAAAGCAAAGCGATAAAACTTTTAAGCCAGAGACCATTTTTGAAATTTGTTGACAGCTCGTGACAATAGTATGATTCAACAGAATCAATATACAGGCAAAACAATCAAGAATAAAAATCCCCTTACACAAATTCCATGCATAAACTGAGACAGCAGCTAGAGACGTATATTGAATTCCTCATACGTTTACTAAATTCCTATATTATACAGGGTGTTTCAGAACTCTATATTCAAACTTGAAACAAAAGTATCAATAGGAATCTGAATCACATAGGTGCAGATAGCGAATGTCAATCGATAGGAATCTGAATCAATAGAAATCTCTGAATCACATAGCGGGTCACAGATGTCGCCTTCAGGTGATAAAGAGATACAAAAGACAGAGCAAAGCAAGTACACAATACAGAAAGCAATATTAAGCGCTTTACTAGTCAAAAAATAGTACAGTAGTTAAAAGCATTACAAGAGGTGTTCGAAATTTTACCCATCGGCATTAATGCCCGATTGACTTCTATGCTGCACTCATATGAGAGAACATTTGGTGATGAGTTCGTTGGAAGTTCTTCTCGATACAGCCGTACATCAGTGCGTCCATTTCTATTAGCTAGGCCATAAACGAAGTAAATATTGTCTAACTCGGCGTTAGAATCGCCTCACTCCATTGCCAACTACAATGAGAAAAAAGCCGCTTCCAACACGACCTATCCATCTGGGACCCTGATTTTCTATGTGATTATGTTTCCTATTGATATTTTCTACCTTCCCCTCAAGTTTTTACGTGGAGTTCTGAAACACGCTGTATATTTGCGGAGAAAGTCCTACCAAGGAAGGACAGTTTTAACTCCCAAAGTTACGTAACTCAAATATACCAATCATTTAAATTTCCAGTTACGTTATAAATATAGCATTTAGTTTTGTGGACTATATCAAATCATGTTTTAATCTTTTCTCTTTCTCTTCATATCTTTATGCACTCATTACCTCTCTAAGTAACCAAATTGTTGACTCCTTCCTTTCCTCCATCTTAGCAACACTTAACGCTCCCTCACCTGTTCCTCCATCTCGCTGTTTACGATAACATCGAGAATGCTACATTAAAAAAATCTATAGTAAATTAAATTGAAATACTACATATAATTATCTGTAATATTTAAATAACATTTATTTAAAATAAAATGAAAAATTTTGCAAGAATTGCTGAAGTAAATATTTTGCAGGAATGATATAACGATATTTCTTACTTCTTTGTTTATGAGTAAGAAGGTGCAAGTTGCTCATAGGCGATCGCTTAGGTTTGCCAAACGGTAAAACCTGCTTTATCGTCGCAATTTTATCTGACCCAGTTTTTTATTAGTTAAGTTACTCTTTTTTAATTCCATTTCAACATATAAAACTCGTTACAAAATGCCGCTGTGCAAATAGCTTATATTATTTAATGTAAATTTTTATTAAAAGTTTATTAAATTAATTCATTATTAAACTGTTTAAAAATTATACATGAACTGAGAAAATAACTCCTTTCTTGTAAACTCTCCAAATTTATGTTGCTTTCATTCTCCATCG